GCTGTAAAATTTTTTTTTTTTTTTTTTTTTTTGGTACTGGGGATCGAACTCAGGTCCTTGCGCTTGCGAGGCAGGCCACCGAACCGCTGAGCTAAATCCCCGGCCTTCTAAAATTTTTATTAGTACATGTTTGCAGTACATGATTACTCTGTGTATTAATTTGAGTTAATACTTATTCCCTTATCAAAATAGCAACAGGAAGAAAACTAGGTTTCTTTCAGGCCTACCCAATTCAAGTTTGCAGGAATGCTTAAGGGTAGGGAAGCCAGGGTGTTGAGGAAAAGTAGAAGGCAGGTAGGGAAAGAGCAGGAAAAGCCAGGTGTGACGGGGCACGCCTGTAATCCCAGCACTGGGAGTCTGAGGCAGGAGGATTGCAGTGAGTTAGAGGCCAGCTTGGGCTACATAGTGAGTTCAAGACCTGTCTGAATTACATAGTGAGACCCTGTATTTAAAAAAAAAAAAAAGGTAGCCCAGGGGCTGTGGCTGTGGCCCCTGTCTTTTTTTTTTTTTTTGGTACTGGCGATTGAACTCAGGTCCTTGAACTTGCAAGGCAGGCCACCAAACCGCTGAGCTAAATCCCTGGCCTGGCACCTGTCTTGCAAGTGCAAGGACCTGAGTTTGATCCCCAGTACCACACACAAAAAAAATAATAAGAATAGTAGCCCAGGTAGAAGCATTTTTAAGCCATTATACTTGGGACAGTCTCTCACATGGATTCTAGGCTGGCCTGAGTGCTGGAACTATAGGTGTGCACCGCTATGGATTGCATTGGAAACTTCTCAGAATGCTTTTAAGAGTCCAGTGCCCAGAGCAATTAAAGTAGACTCTCCAGAGGTAGCTGTTTGAAAAGCTCCCTAGGTGTTTTACAGGTAGCCAGGAGCCACAACTCTGAGCCTGTTGTTTTCATTCCAGTATATGCCGACAGCTACAGCTATGCAGGGAGCTTACATCTCCCAGTACACGCCGCTGCCTTCTTCCAGTGTTTCTGTTGAGGTAAGAACGTTATTTCTTTGGCGTGAGAATAGGACAGTGACAGAGGCAGATCTCCCCCTGTTCAAGATTTTCTGCTCACAGTAATGCACAGGTTCACAAATAGCTGTAGTGTACGAAGAACGCGGGAAGGAAAGACTTCGTCTGCACTTGTGAATGAGGCCCTTGGCACATTTGGCCACCAGCAGTGAGTACCGAGGTGCTGCTGCCTGGCACTGATGAGTGTGCTTTGGAAAGAGGGCAGGATGCCCTCTTGTAAACGTTGAGGGACTGCTGCTGGGCGTGGTGGCACACGCCTGATCGCTGAGTTTGAGGCCGGCCTGGGCTGCGTAGTGAGTCAAGGCCAGCCTGAACTACACAGCGAGACCCTGTCTTAAACCAAGACCAAAAACTTTGAGAGACTGCAAAAAGTGTTTTCCAGAGTGGCTGTACCATTTCTTACCCTTCCACTGCTCACACACGCGGGGGCACTGGGGCTGGCAGGGCCCCTTGGCTTTGGATGGGTCTTAGCAAGGCTACTTCAGGGGGAGCAAGGAAGGGAAAGCAGAAGCCGACTGTCCTCCTTGGCTGTGCTACAGGACAACAGCGGCCAGCAGAACCAAGTGGCAGTGGAGACACCCTCAGACCATGGAGTCTATTCCTTCCAGTTCAGCAAGTAACTGAGGGTAAGAACCACTGCAGGCGTGGGCCGTGCTGAGCCGGCAGCCAGCAGCTCAGCTCCGCATGAAGTCAGGCAGGTTCTCATGTTCGTCAGCCCCTCCTCTCCCTCACTGCGCCTCCTCGAGGATTTCCTCCATGTCCTTGCTGGGTAGACGTGAAGTTTTGGACTTCGGCAGGTTGACCAGGTTCCAGGCCATCTGTAGAGCCTGCTGAGAACTAAAACTGGGCCCTCGTTCTCATGGGCCTGGGCCTGGGTAAAAAGACAGTGCTCCTGCTCTGTTGTTTCTGAACCACTGCTCTTGGGGCCTGGGGAAAAGGCTATTTTGTCTACGTGGTGCATTCAAGGAGATCAAAAACTTTGCTTTCTTTCGCAAAGAAAGTTTTTGGCTTTGTTTTAAATTACAATGTGCTTTTCTTGTGCCTCTAGGAGAGGTGGTAGCTGGGAGCCTCCCAGCCCTCTCTCTCACTGGCAAGCGCTCTGCCGCTGACCTGTATCCCCAGCCCCGTGGAGTTTCCCTGTGAGATGTGTCCGAGTTATTTGGGAAGACTTCTAATACACTTTGATATTATTTGTTTAAAGAAGAAAAAAAGATGTGCTAGACCATCGGCGAAGGATCCCTACTTGCTGAATTTAGTTATGGAGTTTTGATTGTGGAGTATATGGAATATATGTTTCAGAAACAGGCAGATTTAAAAAGTTTTGGGCCAGGAATTTAGCTCAGCGGTTCGGTGGCCTGCCTTGCAAGCAAGTGCAAGGACCCGAGTTCAATCCCCGGTACCCCACCAAATTTTTTGTTTTTGTAAAGCTTACAGTTCACACACCCCATTTCCATACATGTCTTGTCTTTTTTCTCTCAAGATTGTCCTTTTTCTCTTTTCCATACAGCTGAGCCTGCCTGCTTAGCCTTTTCACAGTCTTTAATTTTGTGAATTTTTTTGGAATGAAATTTCATACGGAATTTGGGGGTTGGCGCTGGGCAGGGAGCAAGGCAGAACACTAAGCAGGCAGCGGAAGTGGCTTTTTTCTCTGCTCTGACACGTCTTGGTTGAAAAGACTAGACTCCAGCTGCAGGAAGCAGAACTGTCACCTGCTCCTTTCAGAGATGACCCCACAGCCTTTGGAAGCCACCTTTGAACCAGATTTGGTTGAAGACTAGGTCTTTCCAGACAAGTACCCGATGGATGTACTGACTTCTCACTTCTCTCTGTGGAAGCTGTGGCCTTGGGGTCCCTGCCCTCCCGCCCGCCTCCTGGAGGAGCTCCTCGGCCGCCCTGTGGCCCTTCTCTCCCCGCTGTTTGCTACGCTTCGTGCAGGCTCCTTCCCGACTGGAGGATCGACTGCTTCACCTACAGACCAGTGGTTCTTGGGCAGAGGTGGTTTTGTTGCAGGGCCTGTTGTCAGCAGCCGTGACATTTCCGATCGCAGTGCCTAGGAGTGGCGTGTGGGCTCCCAGCGTCTATTCTAAGAGACGAAGGACGTTGCTGAGCATGCCACGGTGCACAGGACACCACCTCTCTCCAAACAAACGTCCGTGGTGCCAAGGTAGAGAAGCTTTGGTACGGTGTTTCCCTGCTTTCTGGGGCAGGATCAGTTTCCGTCCCAACCGTGGACACACAGCTCTTTGACATTCAATGCTACTGGTCGGGAGGGTGGAACTGAGATCCTAGAATTGCCTGAGGTTTGACCTTGGAAGCTGTTGCACACAGCGAAGCTGTCCTGGCAAGGCCGGCAGCCACTGTCAGCGTGGCCAGTGTGCACTTCTCCTCCTCAAGAGGGCTTGAGATGGGGACTGTTCCGTGTACTGTACAGGGTGGGAAAGCACAGAGCTAACTGCTGAGTGCCTGTCCTGCCCCGGTATGTTTGGACCCCTTCCCGGGAGAACCAGGACCTCAGAAATAATTTTCCCGAGCTGAGTGTGTTGTGCACAACTATAAATCCCAGCGTTTGGGAGGCCGGGGCAAGATGATTGGAAATTCAAGGCCAGCCTGGGCTGTATAGTAGACACCCTGTCTCAAAGGAAATGGGGGGTTCTTCTTGTGAAGGACAACAGGGAGCCAGGATAGAAAAACAGCATGTCCCATGTCAGTGTACAAGGTCGGAGACCCTCGGAAGCCCTGTCTCACTCCATAGCTGTCCTCTGCACAAGACCTGACTGTGCACTGGAGACAGGAAGGAGAAAGCCTTTGCCCACCTGACAGAAGACAGCCCTACTTCTGTTTCCTCATAAAATCCCTACTCCCCATCGAGGCCAGGTTCGTCTCCACCAGACACCACTCGGACGAAGGGAAGTGGTGGAGGGGAGACGCAGGTGTCGAGGCTGGTGTGGGCTCGGCTGTGCAGAGCTTCGCCCAGATTTTCCTTCCGTCCCAGAAGTGAGTCTTCAGCCTCCTTTTCCTGTTTGTCCCTTGTACATCCTTGGTGTAAGGGAGTTGGGGCAACGAATAAGACTCAAACATAAGGAACAAAATCACCCTTTCTCCCATGGGTGCTTCTAACTCCAGGAGAAGCTTATCCAGCATAAAAAGCCCCACTCCCAGTACCCTTCCAGGGTTTGGCTGGACAAACATTGCTTGTTTTTGGGTTTCTAAACCTCAGTAAAGGGAAGTGTACCACAGCTACTTTCTTGTCAGTGGCCTTTGTTTGTGACAGGGTCTTACGTGTAGCCCAGGCTGGCTTCAAATTTGATGCTCCTCCTGCCTTAGCCTCCGAATGCGGGGATCACAGGCGTGTGCCACCACGGCCAGCTGTCAGTGGCCTTAAAGAGAAGACAAACCCATTTGATTGTGTGATGGGGAAGGGGGAGGGTCTGCTGGTAGGGTTAGTGTGGGCCGCCTCTCCTCGGAAATCATTGATGTAACTGCTGCCCCTCCTCTGCCTCGAGAACTCTTGATTCAGTCTTTTTATATCTAAAGATACGTTTGAATGGTTTTGGGGTTTTGTTTTAAATTTTGAAGTTACCTTCTGAGGGTCTTATGTGACTCTACTCGTTAGATTCTATTAATGAGTGTTCTGGCTTGGGCAGGTTCAGACATGGTCAGTGACCTGCAGTAACTTTTGTAGTGGTTAATGGCACAGGAATTTCTTTTAGGTGCTTTTGATGGGAAGACAATCCTGTTTTTTCCTCTGGTTGTTCATCCCCCACCCCCACAGTGCCAGGGATCAAATTCAGCACCTTGCACTGGCCAGGCAGGCGAGGTGCCAGTGAGCTACATCCCCAGGCCTGTTCATTTCTAATAGCAGGCAGTGATGAGGAAGAAGAGGGAGGTGCTGCTGCTCCTGTGAAATGGTGGGGTGGGCGGGACGGCAGGGGCGCCGCGGCGCAGCCTCAGGCTGGCTCTGAACACTGGCTCATGCTTCCTGAAGCCTGTTCTGACTCTACTTCCCATGTCGCCCTGTACCGTTACAGAAGCTTACACTGTCACTTCGGGGGTTGGTACGAGGGATTTGAACCCAGGGCCTTTGCTACATCGCAGCCCCTTTTTGAGTCAAGGTCTTGCTAAGTCATTAAATTGCCCAGTCTTGGCTCAAACTTGTGACCCTCCTGCCTCGGTTTCCCAAAGTGCCGGGATTGCAGGTGGGTGCCACTGAGCCTGGCTGAAACTTGTAAGTCTGAAAAGGTTTCAGTCCCCGCTTTAGTTCTCAGTTGAATACCACAGAACACAGCAGAGCCCTTCCCTCAGTGGCACGTCCCTCACTGGGCTCAGCCTGCTGGTTCCACCTCGTGCCAGTGTTATTGCTGCTGCTCAGACCGCACTGAGCGGGCTGACTGGAAGAGCGTGCGGGTGGGGGTTGGGATGTGGCAACGTTGATGGGGAGGGATTTGTTTAGTCTTTTTAACCAAAGAATTTGAGGAGCTGCTCAGCCTGGAAAATCTGGCAGCTCTGAAGAGATAATAGCCTTCGTCTGTCGTAACGGGTGGCAGGAGGACATTAGGTGCGCTGAGACCACCAGACTGGGCTGCTCCGTAGGCGGTCTCGGGTCGGCACTGCAGCCTCCGTCCTTCCTCTCCCTTTCCTCAGGTGCGGCTCAGTGAGCTCACGCACCCTCCCTTAGTGTCTCTAGGGCTCACCCTTGGTGCTGTTGAGGGAGCCCTTGCTGCAGTGTGGCGGGGATCCCCACAGTGGTTCTGACCTGAGAAAAGGAGCCACGGTTGCTCTTACACGGACGCCCCTTCTGGGAAAGTGGGGGCACGGCACTCCCAAGGGTGTCTGCCTTAGCCAAGAGCAGGTCCAGTCGCCCCAGCCTCTGCTGGACCTGCATCAGTGGGCGTCAGGGAGGGTGGGTGTTAAAAAGCCAGTCTGCAGAGGTAGACCCTAAATTTTGTGCCTTGTTACGCCGATTCTTTCTGATGCCCTTTTAAATCAACCACTCCATTTCTGTACAACCCACCTTTTAGGTTCGTCAAACTTAGCGGACTCCTGAAGTTCAGTGGGCTTTCCCACTTCCTTTCAGTTCCCTCAGCAGCAAAAAGCAGATATCTTGGCTGAAATTCCAAGAGGTGGAGTTTCACACGCCTTCAGGGTGAGAAGCTGGTGCCCTCACCACCCTCACTTCCATTGCTTTCTCCTGGCCTATGCACTTGTTTTGAAGGCTTCCCCGTCCACGCAGAACCCCAAACTTCCTTGTCCTTGTTACTTATCTACCTCACAATCTCACAACTCAACAAGGGCACAAGGCCTGCCTTAACCTTACTGGCTTTCTCTTCATGAATTAGGAAGCTGGGGACTAGAAAGGCCTCATGAACAAATGCAGAAACGTGGGACATTTCTAGTTCTGGAGTGTCTTCCCTGAGGGTTTGGGTCACTGAGCACCTATAACAGCAGGAGCTTTATAGCTAGGTCCTAGGATGGCGGGCCAAGAGGGCAGGCGTTAGAGACCACACGGGCAGCTGAGTGGCTGGGAGTCACCCAAGGACGAGGACTGGTTAGTGGTTGCCATATGGCTGAGAAGGTAACCAAGTAGTACCAAAGAGGGTGTTTGCACCTTTTACAGGGCTGGAAGTAGATGTTCCTTCTCCACCTTAACGTCCAGGTAGTTTACAGTGTCGAGGAGACAGATCCCAGCCTGGAGGTAGTAACTTTTCCAGCCTGAGTAAGTTAAAGTCTCCATCCCATGACTGCTGTCCCAAATCCCCCGATATACTGCTTTCGGGTGGGTAACTACTCTGTTGCATGCACTTATCACCTTGGAGAGGAAATGTCTTATTTATACTTAAAACACATTTTGTACATTTTTCTTTATCCAGAGATGTCTAGTTTTATACTCTTCCTGTGTCTGTGCCAATGCTACCCTTCTAGTTTATTCTTCCTTTTCTGATCCCTGGTCTTTCCATGTTTTTCCCTGTAATTTGGTAGCTTCATTTTGTTGACTTTTAAAAAATAAACACAAAAGGCTGTGTGTCTTGGTGTCTTATCCACAAGTGGAAAGGAGAAGCTTGATGGGCCCATACTTGCTGCTATAGGAATATAGGTGACAGCTCAAAAAGCTAAAGCACAGGGCTGGGGATTTAGCTCAGTGGTGCTGCTGCCTGCATAGCAAGTGCAAGGTACGAAGTTTGATCCCCATAACAACAACATAAAAAAGCCCAGCGTGGTGGTGCACGGCTGTAATCCCAGCACTCAGGAGGCTGAGGCAGGAGGATCGCTGTGAGTTCGAGACCAGCCTGGGCTACACAGTAAGTTCCAGGTCAGTCTCAACTACATAGTGAGACCCTGTCTCAAAAAACATAACAAAAAAGCTAAAGCACATCTCGCGTGGTTGGAACTAAGCACCTGGAATCTCATTTTATCCCAGCACCTTAGTTGGACTTTTAAGGCAGAACTGTACCTATCCACACAAACAAGGTGTGTGAGCCAAGAACCCTGCTTCTCGGTGCCTTATGTTCAGGCAAGGCCAAACTGGGGGGTGTAGGGTAAACCTGTTTGGGTTTTTTTTGAGACAAGGTGCCACTACGCAGTCCAAGGTAGCCCTGAACTCACTTCATAGCCCAGGCTGGCCTCACTCATCTCCAGAGATCTTCTGCCTCAGCCTCCCAAGGGTTAGGTTTACAGGTGTGTGCCATCATGGCACCTATAAACATTTCTTATGCCAAACCCAACACCCAGGCAAGCTCCCTCATAGTAGGTATGTGTGAGAACTATGCTAAAGGGTGCAGAAATACACAGAGTCTTTTGAATCTCTATCAAATGTGGTTTTTATTCAACTGACAAGCACTTTTCTACAGCTGCACTTGTGGAAACATCACATGGCAAAAACGAGGCTTTTTTCTCTAGACTTTTTTTTTTCTTTTTTTAACCTTATTAAAAATGAGATTGGTCCTAAAAATATAGAAAGAAATAAATTTAAATTCACAAAAAACTGTACATTATCAAAAAGTCACTAAAACACCACATTTGGTTATATAAAAAGTCAGTCCCTTCTGTTGTCAAAGGAACATGGAAACTTGGTGTTGATGGTGTGGTTGCTTGCTGTTACGAGACTGATAGGGAGAGGGAAACAAAGGGGTGGGGGTGGGCCGTCTTACTTTTCATCTGCCTTCCCGACACCAAATGCTCTTGAAATAGAGAAAATCCACCTGACTCAAAGGGGCAGTGAAGATGAGGAGAGAGAAACTCAGAAATGGCCCCTCTGATCATGCCCTGTCCCCACCCTCTCTAGCCCCCAACCCCCTTCAGAATGCCTGGTCCCTGGAGAGAGGGAGCTGGGAGAGGAACACAATGCAGGAACAACCGAGACCTTACTCCCCATCCACCCCACCTCCAACAATGAAAATTAATCTATGTTTTACACCAGGGGAAAAACTGCCACGGGGAGAAAGATGAGCCCCCAACTAGGAACAGTTCCAAATGTCTAACACAAAGTTTGTTATAGCGCAGTTAGATAAAATATAAATATTTATGCATAATATAAAGTCAATTCAAATATTCTTCAATCCACTTATTTAAAAGCAAAAAAAAAAAAATCTCAAATAAAATTAAAAGTTTTGAGGTTTATCTGACAGAAAAGGCGACTTTAGAAATAGGCTCTGGGGGGAGAAGGGATGTACAGGACTGAGGGGCTGCCCAGGACCTACACTGCCCCTGCCCCCTGGTGGCTCTTCAGTGCTGCCAGAATGACTGGAATGAACGCTCCACCTCCCCGGCACAGGGCCGGCGCCACACCAGTGGACATTTCTGAAGCCTCAGCTCTGCTCAGGCAGCCAGCAGCCACCTCCCCAGTGCAAGTACCCGTAATCTCTGGTGGGAGGGGCTCTGCTGAGCAGGAGCAGGGCCATGGCTATGGTCGGGGTGAGCAGTTTTCCTCTCACAGACAAGGGGCACAACTTGGGCGGTTGTGTGTAGGGCAGTGAACCCAGAACCCCGCTCCCTCCCCAACCTGTGCTCAGGGGTCTCTGCTGCTGGGAAAGGGTCCTGGAGGATGAGTAGATAAAAGGAAGGAAAGAAAGCACAACTAAACCCACAGATGCTCATGGGATTAAGAAAGATCCAGTTCTACCCCTCTTCCTGCAAAAACTTCACTCAAAGCTCCCGATGGGGGAAGAGTGCGCCTGCTCAAAGACTGCAGTTTGAAGAGGCTGGACAGAAATGACCCAGAGAAATTGTTCTTGTGATTTCCCAAAGACATAAAAGTGATGGTATGAAAAAAATGGGAATAGTGGAAATAAAAAGAGCCAACGGGCAAAACGAATGGATCCCATCAAACGAAACAGGGTCAGAATCACGGCTCGCACACGCACACGCACACACACACGCACACACCCACCTCTCTTCCACTCAGGCCAGTCAATTGCTACCTGGCCTCCATCTCAGAGGTGCGCCCAAACTCAGCAGTAGTTGTCCCTGAGGAGTTCCCAAGAGGGAAGTTTGGGAAGCAGGTGGGAAAGGAGGTTGGAAGGCCCAAGGTGCCAGCCCACCCTCTCCCCAGCCACTGAGTTTCAGAAAAGGCTGGAAACTCAGTACGTGAGGAGCATCTGACATTTTAGATGAGATAGCTATAAGCAGGAAGAGGAGGACAGAGAAAGACAGGGACTTCTAAATTTTTCTCCTTTGAGGGGAAAAGATTTGAAGGAAAAAGAGGGAAGAACCCGTACACAATAGTTTTACATTATTGGATGAGAAAATCTGAAAAAATGGGGGATGGAGAGGAAAGAAGAGGAAAGCTGAGAGGAAGCGAGACAGGGAGGGTCTGCACGTGGAAGCAGCATGTCCAGGGCCCGTGTCGGTGACACGCCTGGGGGTTAAGTCCACTTTACTGGCCGTCACTGCGGGTCCGCACACAGTACAGAGTGTTTCTCGGTTTCACACATTCACTAGAACTATTGCTATTGTTAAATAACCCCAGAATGCTGGGGCATGGACAGGGAGGGAGAGGAAGCTGGGAGGAGGAAGTAGGAACTTCTTTCCCCCTCCTTATTTTTAGTTAGGGAAATAAAACAGGAAAAATTATTTTTTCTTTTTTGGCTTTTCAGTCCAGAAGGACCTCATCTCTACACCTCTTATTTGAGGAGCAAGAGGAGGAAGGGAGAAAGAGGACTAGGGATGAAGGATGTGGGCACTGCCAAGGGCAGGGTCAAAAATCAGGCTGTATCTGACTTTAGTCCAGACCGGAGGCAGCATCAGCAGGTGTGAATGGCAGGTTTTTTGTTTGGAAGGTGGAGGGTGAGGTCACAAGGTGACTCCCCACCTCCCTTGCCTCAGAGATTGGCCTGTTTTCCCTGATAAAACTCCTCCCAGCGGCTCTCAAAGAACTGACGCATGATGTGCCCTGCTTTGCCCACTTCGGAGTCATCCTCATTGAAGGTCTGGCAGTTGTCAAATACCAAGAGGGCATCAGCTGCAAACTCCTCTGAGCTGGTGTACCTGGGCGAGTAGAGGTGGGGCTGTAAGCCAGGGATGAGTTGCAGAGTAACAGAGAAGAGCTAGGGAGTCTCGAACATCAACTTACCCTCCCCGGAGCAGCCGCTCCCGCATGGTGGAAAAATCCATGGGGTTCTTGATGATGCGCCGGTACCCACTCACCAGTCGTGGGTTTACAGGCTCCAGGAAAGGCCAGGCTGCATCATGGGACTCCATCTCCATCAGGATAATCCTATCATACAGGACAGCAAGGGTTTCATTTCGGAAACAAACACGCTCACACACACTGACCCCTCCCTGCCTCTATCCTGCCAGATGGATTCACCCAACTCACTCGCAGAATGTGAGATCGCTGTGGTTCCGCATGGAGAGTCGCCGTCGCTTGGAGGGAGAGAGCCCTTCTTCTGAGTACCGGGGTACTGATGATGGGCTTTCTCGGCCCCTTGACGAGACACGGCGCCGGCAGCCCTCAGCCTCTGGGAAGTTCAGGGAGTAAGCACTTTTCCGCTTCTGACCTCGCTTTGGGAAACCCGGCTTCTGAGTGAATTCTTCCTCCACTTGCTGAGGATAGGAAAAGGCGAGATTAGCAATGGCTGGATATACACTACCTGCCTCCTAGTTTGTCAGAATCCCTACCCGGGACTGAAGCTTCAAAATACCTTCCCACATAAACCGGAATGTAAATTTATTCACATAAGCCAGTGAGTAGGGGTAAAAGAAAAGGCATAATTATTCCTGTTTTATAGAGAAGCAACTCAGGCTATAAAATTTAAGTGTTTTTTCCAAATAAGGACCAAAATTCAGGTCTCATAGCACTGTCAGCTCTTTCCAAGGCGAGACTGGAGATAGAGTAGGAGACATCTGGTGATAAATGGGATGGAATGACATTTACCTGGGCCAGACAGACAGCACAGAACCAGTCCCCTTCAGGGACAGCCTCCATCTTGGGCCTATGGCAATAAATGTGGCAGCCACGGTCACACCCATCGCAAAGCAGGAGAAACTCGTCGTTGTCACCCTTCCGGCACACTAGACAGGTCTGGACCAAGGTTGTGAGGAAACACAATGAGCCCTTAAATCTCCATGTGCTTACTACCCCCACACACCAGCGGGTCGGTTCCTTGGCCCTTCCAGGCTCTCCACGCCTCTTACCACTTTGTTGACAGACTTTTCCCAGGCAATAGACCTCTCTAGCTGGCCCATGCACAAGCACACCTGGGCAGCACTCCGGCATCGTTCAAGTGTCTGGCGCCAGACACGAACACGAGGGGTGATCTCATATGATCTGTAGGGAGAAAGGGGAGTTGTTTGGATAAGGCACAGGATCTGCTGAAGAGGGGACCTTAGCCTTGCTCTAACAGCAAGAACAAAGAAGTGGGAATCACTCACATCTCTGTCGTGGTTCCCTCAGGGGCCCCATTGGGCGTGCTGAGCAAGGCCTTTTCTAGCACCACCTCATGAGCTGACCAGAGAGGCTCCTGTAGGTACCGCCGCTCCACATTCTGTTCTAAAGCAGCCAGTCGCATCACAGCCAGATCTAGAGGGTTAGTGCTTTTACGCTGAGGTGCCAGTCCTTCTCTGCTGCGACCTCTCCAGGTGATATCCTCCTGGGAATCAGGCAGATGCTCACAGTAGGCCAGGTCTTCACGAATAGAGTCTGGGCTAGGACATGTCCAGCCCTTCAAATGGAAAAGCAAAATAAAACTCATCATAAAGGAGAGAGAAAGACCCATTTTAAGATCATGGCAGGTGAAGTATGAATGGAGGAGTTTTCCAAATAGCTTTTGTTTCAGACAGGGTCTCAATGTGTAGCTCAGGCTGGCCTTGAACTCACTATGTAGCCCAGGCTAGCCTCAATCTCATGGCAATCCTCCTGCCTCAGCCTCTCCAGTGCTGGGATTACAGGTTATGAGCCACCATGCCTGGCTCCAAATAGAGTTTAAAGGATTAAAGCCCTCTTGTAAACAACTCCCTACCCAGTGCCCATCCCAGTATACCCGAATCTGCAGATCAGACAGGATAACCCGCTGTTCCAGATCCTCTACCCACTGAAGCACAGCTAGGTCTGTTTCGTACGTCTTCTCTTTGGGTGACCAGCTCATAATCTCTTCTTGAAAGGGAGGGAGCTGACTAGGCTCAAAGATGGGATCTGAGAAGCAAGAACACAGAAGAGGCCATCAGGCTGTTGAAAAGCAGCTCACCTTTGTCCTGGGCCCTTCAGTTCAGGCTGGGTGAAGTATCTATTTACCAGTTGAGGAACGTGAGCAGACTTCCTGCAAGAAGTTCCTGTGCTTGTTAAGGTGTTTGTGAAGTGCCTTCTCCCGGATGCCTCGGGGGTGCAGGGCCTTGAGCATGGCATCCAGCATCTCAGGATCTCGGATCCACCACCAGCCTGAGCGCATCCCTGAAAACAAGGGATACAGACATGGGGTGAAGGTTGGGAACCAGCTTGGAAACACAATGCCCACCCTGGGTATCATTCTTCCCTACACTTTTTACTACATTTCACCCAGGATCACTCACCAGCAGGGACAGGCTGGGCTGTCAGCTGCGTTAGGTAACGCTGCTCCATCTGTTTGAAGAACTTGCTGGGAGGTCTTCCTCTCCGTTTTGGCTGTCCCAGCCCTGTGGGACTCTGTGGCTTTTCTCCAGAGTCTGCTGCTCGCCTCTTAGGAGTTACGCCAGTCAAGAGGGTGGAAGAGAACTGTGCCGGAGAACACGGGTTGGCAGTACTAGGTCTATTCACCTGTGAATAAAATGAGACATAATATGAGGATATTTTCACATGTATAGGTTTCCTCCCTTTAACAGTCCCATAGCCAAGCCATGGAGCCCATGAAAAGATGAAGACAACATACTCTTTCTGGCTACTTACTGGCTTGGAGGAGGCAGACAGCTGAGGGGAAGGAGTGGGTTGGTCCTCAGAAACTGCAGGGGGTGGTGTAGGGGCAGCATTGCAGGGCACCTGGGCTGAGAAGTTAAACCAAGATGCTGGAGGATCAGGGCCAGACTCTGCCTCATCAGGCTCCTCCAGGGGCTGTGAGGGGGCTGGGTCTAGCTTTCCTGGGCTGCTATCAGGTGTGAGGACTGAGCTGCTCAGCAGGGAGCCATGGCTCTGAGTCTGGCTCAGCCAAGACAGGAAAGCTGATTGGCTGAGGTCATGCTGGCTCTGACCCAGAGACAAAGGGGACCCTTCTGGCTCTAAGAACCCATGACAGAGCTGGGGCTGGGGCTCAGGATGAGGCTCGAGATGGGGCTGGGTAGAAGCCTGAGGCTGAAGATCGGGCTGTGCCTTGGGTTGAAGCTGGGCCTGGGGTTGTTCTGAATCCTGGCCCTTGAGAGAGGACTTCAGGTTCCTAGGTTGCATAGACCCAGGCTTAGTTTTTCGAGGTCGGCCTCGCGTCCGGGCAGGAGAGCTGGCAGAGGTGTTGGAGCCATTTAACTCTCTCTTCACAGAAAAGAGGGCAGGAATGAATGCTGGATAGGCCTTTAAGGAATCGGTGTCCTGCTTTACCATATCTTCAGGAACTACAAAGAGAAGATATACACTGATATATAACAGGAAAGAGCATATAAACACATGGTATATATTTTTGGACTTAGTCCTCCTCTTACGAGATTCTGCTGCTGGTAACAGCATATATGACAATAGACAAAGTATCTGGAGAAGAAATAAGTGATCGGTGGCAGGAGCATAATCAGAAACTAAAAATCTGAGAACCAACTATATTTTAAACATTTTTTTGTTGTTTTAAATGGTGCTGGGGCTCAAACCCAGGGCTTTATGCTGTATTCTACCACTGAGCTATACCCCCAGGCCTGTTAAGCACTACTCTAATTAGGAATATTAATTCTTCTTGATTCAATTAACAGCCTCATGAAATACATATTCTATTTTTCTATTATCTCCAGTTTATCACTGAAGAAACAAGCATACAGCCGTTAAGTGACATAGCAGCAGGTAGGGAGTCTTACTCTAGGGCCTACCCACTATGCTAGTCTGATGATTCTCATAAAACAAAAGTGGCCCAAGACCACTAGGCAGAGGAAAAGCAATTATTTAACTTTTGTTAGACAGGACTAAAGAGGATCGAGGCTTTCACACACACTTACCTAGGCTCCCCTCTGCTCCTTCCACAAAGATACCAGTCAAATACGGCAACACCCAGTAACGGCGTCTGTATCGGTCTTGCCCCAAAGAGACTGCCCGAAGCATCTGGGATGAGTGAAGCAGCTTTTTGCGAAAGAAGAGCTGACGCTGGAGAGGCAGTGGAAAGGGAAGATGATTAAAAAACACTTCTAGAGTGACAGTGGTAAATTCATCTAGTACGTGAGACAAGGCATAAGCTCTCAGCTTCCCCACAGAACTGATACCCAGCTCAGAAGATGATCATCTCTTGCCCAGCCCACACCCAGAACTCCTGGGAGGTCAAGCACAGTACCTTACTGAGTTTTTCTATCTGGCGCTCTAATTCTGGGATGCTAGATGCTGTAACATCAACCTAGAGAAAAACAAGGACACCAAAGAAAAAGTGAGTTATCAGATTTTTAAAAAAAGAGAAATATCTATATCCATTTTCTTATTTTTGGGGGCTCTAAGGATTGAATCCAGGGACTTCTTACTGAGCTCTATGTTCAGAGCTTTTTTTTTTTTTTTTTTTT